TACCCTCGCGCTGGCCGCGGTGTCGAAGAGCACTGCGTGGACGTGGGCCTTGAGGACCCTCAGGCCAAGAAGCTGCAGAAGAAGGCGGAGGCTGACGCGGGGCTGGCCAAGCTTACCTCTGCGAAGCTTCAGCTCTTGCGGGAGCTTAGGGACGAGGGCCTCTTGACCGATCAGCAGTTCCAGCAGAAGCAGCAGCTGCTCGCTTAGATTGTGGTTCCTCGCTCAGCGCCTTGACTTACAGGCGCACACCTGCAGACCAATTCTAATGCATTTTTGGATACATTTTCATTTTCGACTCTTCGACCGCGGTCCTGGAACAGAACCGCGACTTGTTGCGTCCTAGCTTGTGAGTAGTCAGGTTATCTGTACAGCCACCGTAGCTTTGTTTCGGGGAACCCTCGGGAAACCCATCAGATTTTCGGGAAGCCGGCAGACTTCTGCCCTTGGCTTTACAAGTGATTCCCTCACAGGTGCAGCCTCACAACACAGTGAGGCAACCTGGAGCGTCGGTGATTCCGTAAGCACTGCCAGGTCGAATCCCGAGCTTCGTATGATGTTACATATGACACAGGATGCAATAGAAAGAAGGGGAGCAGAGCTGCCGCCCTGCCAAACTCGGCTTCTGATTCTAGCAAGTCGACATGCGCTGTTATGAGGTGGATTCGAACATCGAGCACTGGAGCCCTAAAGCCTAGCACAGCATGCGAAGGGGGGCATGCAGATTGGGGGGCGAGGCTACCTGTAGCAGCGAGCGGAAGCTGCCGGATGCGTGTTTGACCAGCTCAAGACGCCTGAAGCTTGAAGCCCAAGTCATGTGACACCCGTCTCCAGACTTAGACGCTCTGTGTAGGCTTTCGGGCCCCGCTTCGGACACCGCCTGATTCCCCAAGCCCTGACCCCGAAGCAAGCAAGATCAAGCAACTTAGCCAGAGACTCCGAACCGTTTCTGGCCGGCGCCACTCTCCTCCGCGATGGCGGAGACGCCCGAGAGGTGAAGCCCTCAGGGCCTAAGGCCTCGCCATTTCCCTGGCCTCCCCTAGCCCTAGCCTCGGCTGAGGAAAGAGCCGACGGAGCTGGTGAGTTGTGGCCGGTGCGGATCCGTGAACTCGGCGCGCTCCGAGCTCGAGCTGGGGGCTTTCGAGTTGAGACAGATCAGTACAGCTGTGCAGAGCTGCAGAGCTGCGCAGCCGGCAGTGTTCCTTGCAGATCCTGACGAGTCCTGATGTCCGGGCCTGACGTCCATTTTGGTCCAAAGGGGTCCCGGGAGCCAGGTACCCTTCGGCCTGGACCGCTTCCAGTGCTACAGCTGCGGAGCCTCGGCCGCTCTCCGCTCGCTTTAGGAGCCTCGCGCTTTCTCTTTCTCTGGAGCCTCGCGGAGAGGTTGCGAGCTCTGCGGTTGCAGAGTTCTGTCGCAGCTCTTCTCGAGCTGGCAACGACCCTCGCCAGGTCGTCATCTCTCGGGAGACCTCTGCGGCCTGCGCTGCTGCATCGCCGACGGTCCGGGTCCGTGGCATTCTTTTGCCAACAGGCTTTCTTTCAGAGGAGAGAACCTATGCAGGCAGCCCGGTGTGGTCCGAAAAAGAGGCTCCGAAACAGGGGACAACGCTCTTCCAGAGGTTGACAGAGCTCTTGAGCTGTGGGAGAGCGGCAGCTTTGGCTTTGCCGACGCTGAGGCCCTCTACATTGACAACTTGCAGGCACGGCAGGGACCGGCAGGATGTTCGTGGTCCTGCAAATTATGTCCTCTTCGTGCTAGGGTTCAAAGCGACCCCCCAAGCCCCATGAAAAAATAAGGTCTTGCAAGGTCCAGAGGCCATAGGCGCTGTCGGGGCGGTCTGTGAGAGTTACGCCCCCATGCCGGCTGTCGAAGCGGGCTAGGCGACTCCACAGAAAGAGGGAGGCAGCAAGAGTGCGCCATCGAAGAAGCCGGAGGCCCGCTAGTTTTGTCCCGCTGAACGGTAGCGGCATCGCAGAGTTCTTCTGTTCGGGTCCTGATGCGTGGATGTCGGTCGACTGAGATTGGTCGTCTGGCTGTCCTCTGAGTGCTTTCAGCCAACTCTGGGGATTTCTGGGGCATCCACGAAGTACAGCTCCCCGATGCTCCTCTCTGCCCTCTTCTTTCCAGACATCGAGACTGTTTTCCTTCTGGGCAGGCAAGCTCGCGTGGATTTTTCGAGAAGCTGACCCGGCAAGTGGACAAGACCTTGCAGAAGGCTGGCCTGCTGTTGCGATTTAGGCTTTGGGGTGGAGGCCTGCGATATGGACTCAGACTGTTCTGTGAAAGCGGCTTGCATTAGCCTTGCACGAATGCCGAAGGGTGACACCCATCACCCATATGAATGTCTTCTTTTTTTCGGTTTGTTCGGTCTTGTGTTTCTCTTGTCCTCTGGTCATTTGCTGCTTGGAACCTTTGTTTGTATACCAAACGTAAGTTTTTTCTTTTTTATGTTGACTGTTTGTTTACGTGGTAGATTTTTATATATATATATATATATATATAGCGCACATGTATCTACTTTATTCCAAGAACATGGTGTCTTCATGTTGCAAGTATACATATAAAAGACCTTAGGTGCATGTGTGTATATATATATATATCTAATAACAATAACCAACACATGGTATATCAAGTAGAATATGCCGTACCTTAGTAAGTGTAGCTATCCGCCACAACATCATAGCATATCATAGGCACAGTCTTGTTGTAATCACATCCTATCATATGCAGTTCTGTTATCTGAAATCATGCCAGACCACATATTATCAACGCATATCATATTACGTATGTCATGGTATGTAGTGTTCTGTGGTAGGGCTCGATTTTGTCTATGCATATTATATGTATATGTGTGTGTATCCCTGTGTGTATATATATATATACATATACGTATGTATATATATATATACACATATAGATGTGTGTATATATATATATATATGTATACATATACACACACACACACACAGATGCAGATGTGTGTTGCGGAAGGCGGTCTTGTTGGGAACTTGGATGCATGTTATTTCTCACACATGTGGTCATGCTTTGTTGTCTTGGCGGTTGTGTTTTGATTGCAAAGTCATAGACACACCGCCATGCGTGTGTTGCACAAGCAAGGAACTGAGGTCACGGAGTCGTGTGCGGTGCTTCTGTGAGATTTGTGCGTGCGATTCTCACACACGGAAAATTATTGCAGAAACGAGAAATCGGTGGTCACCGTACCAGTTGTGTTTGGTTGATGCAGACATGAGTATTTGTCAGAAAGTGGTGTTGTTGTGACTTGGGTGCATGCAAATGCCACTTCAGACACATGCGTGTGGCCATTGCTAGGTAGATACTTAGATGCTTAGATATTTAGACAGATAGATAGAGAGTCAGAGAGATAGAGAGATCGACAGATAGATAGATAGAGAGATAGACAGAGAGAGAAAGAGAGATCCGCGCTTTTTTGGCTCAGCAGGGAACAGACCTCATGTGCCCAAGTCCGGGATGAATTAGCGGGCAAATTATAACCCGCCCTCCAACAGGGAGCAAAGTCGTCAGCCTCGATAGTTATCGGAACCCGCCCGCCAGCCCTCATTGTGGAAGATGCTGTGACGCAGGAGTCGTGCCTGGGCCTGGGCATTTACCGAGAAGGCCCAGCAGGTGGTTCAAACTGCTTACTGCGTCTGAGGCCCGGACTAACAGGCTCGCAGGCCCCCCATATCCTGGCCGAGGTTGCGGGTCCGCTGCTCAGGGCAACCGAAGGCTGTTCCTTGAGGATATTTTTGGACCGCTACATCCGGGGCCTGCCACAATAACAGGTTAAAGGGAAGGAAAAGGGCAAGGGCAAGGCGCCAGGCAAAGGAGCAAGGCAAAGGGACGGAGCCGCTCCCCCCTTCAGGTCATATGCGTGCCGCTGGGCATTTCGGTTTTGCATCTTAAGGCTTCTATTTCCTGGGATGGAGATGCTAATGCCGCTCCACGCCCTGCGCAAAAGATGACGACGACTACGACGACGGATGGGGGGCCGCTGGGGAGTCCGTCGCGTTGGGTGGTCAAAATCTCAACCCTGCAGGACCCGCCACGGTGCACGACACACGTGGTTCAAGCCGGGGCATGTCCCACGGCCAGGTCGGGTCAGGCCACGAGCCTGGCCCAGAGGGTCGACTGCAGAGGTTGCGGCGGGGCGTTTCGCAGGGGAGTAGTGTGTTGCTCGTTTTTCTCGTCGGTAATGTATGCGCACGGTATGCAGTGATATCGGTTCAACAACTTCTGCTGAGCGTTATGGCTGACCGTAAGTCCAAGGGCGCAAAGCAGATTCAGTCTGAAGTGGGGGAGCTGCGCGACCGGGTGGAGGCTCAGGGCAGTGAGATCGCGAGCTTGCGTCGCCGAGTGGGTCGGCTTGCCGAGTGGGTCGGCTTGAGAAGTCCACACACTTGGTTCTCGAGAACTCGGGGCGCGTTGAAGAGCTGTTTGCACAGGCGGAGTCGAGTAGGGAGTTCAAGAACTAGGCAAGCAGCACTGGGATGGCAATTTTCAAAGAGCTCAACGCGATCGCGGGACAGCCGGTGCCCCTGCCGGAAGTCCCACCAAAGACGTGGCACGCGACGTCTGAGGAGAACACGCGCACGGATATAGACGCGCCGGTAAGCTGGTGGGGCTGGGCCCCGGCCCTCCTGGCGGCGGTCCGCTTTGTGGCGCCGAATAAGACGCGCAGTAAGAAGGATGAGACGACTGGGGAGTGGCGGCGTGCTCCGGGTCACTTTGTGGTGAGGTTAGAGTTCGGGGAGGCGTCGTTGCGGGTGCAGCAGGGTCTACAGGGCGCGCTGGGGCAGTGGATCGGGAAAGCAGTGAAAGCTGCACGTGAAAAGGGAGAGACTGTTTCAACCTGTACCTGGACAAGACACCGGAGGAGCTGGAGCGGAAAAGGAAGCGGATTGGGGGTGACTTGTGCACGACGTCTTCCGTCCGCGAGGGGAGAGGCAAAGGAAAGGACAGGAAGAAAGGAAAAGGGAACGGCGCCAAGGGAGGGACTCTGCGCGGGGGGGGCGGGGCAGGTCGCTGGGAGGAGAAGTAAGTCTGAGGACTGCGGTCAGCCGCAGACGAAGTTTCACCGCGCTGTAAGGTGGCTGCAAAGTCCTCTTGTGAGTGCGCTAACAAGTACCACAGGGTTCCGAAGGGAGTTGTTTCAATTTGAAGTTGTAAGTACAGACGTGTTCCCTTTACAGACTTAGCTGGTATGCTAGCTGGAGGGTGTTTCTTTTGGTAACGTAGCTCTGCGCTTCCTCGTCCTTGTTGCCTGTAGTTTCACGCCATGAGTGCTGATGAGCCATGGTTTCTCCGACCTGGAGGGGAATGGGGGTGGGCTGCTTGGAGTACTTGATTTTTTTCCCCTGATCCAGTTCATGTTGCTTGGGCAGCTAAGTCAACACCCGTAGTCTGTTTGTCTGTCTGTCAAGTTCCCTGGCTACTTGTCACCATCCACTGGCCTGAAATTCGCCGATATTCCCCGGACCTCGTCGAGAGCCTCCAAGTCTTTGACATTCAAAGGTGCGTACTGGGTTGCATTAGTCTGGCGGTCCGGGGCAAACCCTTGAGACAGTTGAGGTATTAGCAGTCATGTCGACTGGGCAAAGCCACACTCTCTGAGGAGAGTGCGCAGCAGATAGCTGTTCCTGTTTCCCATCTGGAGCCTGCGCGGCAGCGACAAGCTCTGGTGAATCATTCTGGTTCGTCTCCGTCTCTGTTTCCCTCTGCTCACATGGGTCGGTCCCAGACCTCTTTCTCGTTCTCCGTTCAGCCCAGAGTGTATCCCTGTGATTGACCACCGTGGGGAGAATCAAGTTTCTGGAGCTGTTCCGATTGGTCCATCGCCTGCTGCCCCATTCTGCAGGATTTGTTCGTCCAGGTTCCGCCTTTCCTTTTCTCTCTGCATCCTCTCTCGCCGCTCTTTCCTCCTTCCCCTCTTCTCCTCCTCCTCCTCCTCCCCCTCCCCCCTCCCCTCCCCCCTCTTCTTGCTCCTCTTCCACGGCTGCTGCGGGGAGATCGTCGTTGCTTGGAAGCAAACCGGTTGGTTTTTTCAACATGGGTTCCCCTTTCCTTTTCTACCTACGGTTCAGTCATCTCCGACACTGTTCCCTTCAGTTGGTGCTTGGATTAGCTCCAAAGGGGGTCGAAGCAAATTTGTGTCGTGGTTGGCAGCCGAATGCGACCGTCTATTGGAGGAAGATTGGCGTGGGTTGGACCCAGATACGGTCTGGTCCTTTCTAAACGATGCTGGTTGGTCAGATCAAACTGAGCTGCTCCTGTCGAACTGTCGTTTCGTGGACCCCCTCGTCCAGGAACTCTACGACATTCTTTCGGAAGCGCAAAAACTGTCAGCTTTCAGACCATCTTTCAGTGCGAAAAGGAAAGCCGTTGCTCTGGTCAACTCCTCCGGCAGCACTCGTTGTCAACGTCGTAATCTAGCTCGAAAGGCGGCTCGCTTGCTTCGTCGAAGAGTTAAAGCAAAACGTAAACGGCGCTTGGCGTGCTTTCGTGCCTCTGGGTTCGCTTCTTCCAAGAGGAAGGGGCAGGTGGTAGTAGGCACTTGGAACACCCGTGGTCTGGGAGCGCCCAAAGGTAAGGACCCGGATGGAAAATTTAGGGCCCTTTTCTCTCTGATGCTTGAAAGAGGTTGGAGTGCGGCTTTATTGACCGACGTTCGCTTTGAGACAGATGGTTTCTTGCAGGTTACTGTCAGGGACTGTACGTGGCTCGTTGTTCATTATGGAAAGGTGGCGGTTGCCTTGGACCCCTGGCTGGCGGCACGGTGGAGGGCGGCTGGTTCGCCTATTAAGCTGGTACGGGGCTGGCCTGATGGTGAAAGATGCTTTGGAATTCGCGTCTTAAGGGGCGGTCGGCGCCCGGGCTTGTTGTTGGCTCCCGTCTATGCGCCGTTGGCGCCAAAAACCCCCATTGCGGAGCGGGACAAATGCCGGGAACTTGTCGGGTCGATTTCGGAGTCGGCGTCTTCATCTGCTGCTTTTGGGAGGTGATTTCTCAATGGGGGGGTCGGAGCTACCAAGGATAGCAAATGGAGGCACGTTATGGGCCTGTTTGGGGATTCCCGTGGGACCAAGGGAGGCGAGGAGCTCCTACAAGTAGCGTTTTGCGAACAGGGGGGTCTTGTTGTTGCAGACACTTTCACCAAGCAAAAACACAAGGGTACGTGGTTCCACCCGAGATACGTAC